CCACAATGTGCATTTGCCTGGTGATTTTTTGTGTGTGTATATGGAGTGGGGTAATGAGGAAAAGGCATATATCTTGTAACTTGTCTCATACTTATTACAAACAGGGGACTCTTCCTAGAGTCGATGGAAGGGGCTATAGAGGATTCAACAACCACCAGAAATTTTGTACAAAATTTGAAAGACAGGCTGCATAGCCTTCACCGGATTCTCATGAGGGTCTCAGACCTCAGGGAGAGTACGAACGGCAGCTCCCAAAAGATTTGACTAGCGACTAAGGGAACCCACTCCCCAAACCTGCTTCCTGATTTCATTTCATAATGCCCCAGGCCTTTGCTGTTGCCAAGATGCGCTGGCTTACTGCCAAAGAAGACAGGCTCTTATCTGAGTTAGTTCTGCCACCTACAGCACACAGCCCAGCAAAGCCATTGCATGCTTGCAGCAGAGAAGAAACCTCATTTGCATACATGAATAAGGGGAGGGCTGCCTCTCCAGCCCCAGACTCTCCACTGGAAGAAAAATGACTTTGGGGATTCTTGATTAGCATTCAGAGATGCAGGCTCCTTTGGGGTGGGTTACAGCGATGGAAAGATATTTTTACATTAAAGGGAAAGGGATAAATTTTGAGGATTAGCACCTGAAAAAGAAATGTTGCTGAAAGCCCAGAGAGGAAAGTCACTGCAAAAAAGGAAAAGACAGTGAGCTCAAGAGTCCTCACAATAAGTGTAACCCTCCCATTTCATAGCATGCCCAATGCTAATAGTCCTTTCTAGGTCCAAACGGGTCACCCCCACCATCTACCTTGTCGTACAATGAAAAATCCTTGCTTTGGAAGAATGTAATTTCCTAAGGCAGGATAGTTTTCTTAATATACTTAAAGCAATTTTAAGGATTACCTCTAAGGGGAGAGATTGTGTTATTCGCATTTTTGTGTCCCCAGCACCAAGCAGAATGCTTGATACTTAGGAGGAAGCTCAGTAAATGTTTGTTGATGTAAAGTAATAGAAATGTAGTTTGTGTTGCAACCTATGCATGCTTGCTAATATATAATCATAATATCTACAGATTATTAAATAGTCATGCATTAGACATATTAACTCAAATTCTCATGACAGTATATAAGATGGGTATTGTTTTGCAGGTAAAACTGAAACCCAGTGTTTTTAAATAACTTACCCAAGGATGCATACCTAGTGACAGTCAAAATCCATACCTAGACTTCTTAGCTTATAAATCCATGTTTGTTCCACTCCACCCATGTATTTTATCTCCAGTGTAAGCTCATTTACAATGAGTGGTAAATGAACCAAATGTAAATAATTTGAAAATGTTGAAAACATTTTTAACTGTTTTAAATACTAAAAAATATACTGTAAAATGTTTCCCAGTCTTTAGGATTTCTCTGAAGTTTTTCTTACCATTCTTGCTTAATAATAGAAGCAAATATCTTCTGACCCTGTGTGGAGCTAGCAGTGGTACTTCTTTGAGGGATGACCCACTCTTAAATCTACTTGCATAGATAATTGTGGAATCTTTCACTCCTTTTGGTCTGGTGAGCATTAATGGCTTGGAGAGGCAATGAAGTAGTCTGTAACTTACACTTTGATTTGTAGCAAAGCATCCTTTTTACAATTTTTATTTTAGATTCAGGAGGTACATGAGCAGGTTTGTTACACGGGCATGTTACGTGATGCTGAGGTTTGGGCTTCTATTGATACTGTCACTCAGATAGTGAACTTACTACCTGATAGGTAGTTTTTCAACGTTCCCTCCTGCTTTTGGAGTGCCCAGTGTCATTGTTCCCATCTTTGTGCCCATATGTACCCAATGTTTAGCTCTCTCTTATAAGTGAGAATATGCAGTATTTGGTTTTCTGTTTTTGTGTTAAGTCACTTAGGATAATGGACTCCAGCTGCATCCATGTTGCTACAGAGAACATGATTTTGTTCTTTTTCGTGACTGTGTAGTATTCTATGGTGAGTGTGTACCACATTTTCTTTATCCAGTCCACCACTGATGGGCTTGATTCTATGTCGTCGCTATTGTGAGTGTTACTGCAATGAACATGAGTGAAGGTGTCCTTTTGGTAGAAGGATTTGTTTTCATTTGAGGATATACCCTGTAGTGAGATCAGCAAGGAATTCTTAACAGAGGAATGCACACATAGAGTCTTCATGAGTTGGAATATGGAGTTAGCTGTATAGTAACCTTGCCTTTTTCACAGGTTTTTCCATATTAACACTTTAGACTTCAAAAAGGACATCAAAGTAAGCAAGACTGAAGACCCAACATTACTAACCCAGGTCTCATTACTTTACAGCCTGATTTAGTAGGGTTGGTGTCTTGGTCCCTTTGATGTGCATATTCCTTGTGTTGTTCAGGCTTTGAAATCTTATTGTCTTCCAGAGAAATTGCAAATGTAAGAAAAGTGCAGCTGACCCTTAAATGGGGCGAGTGGTTTAAGCAAGCTTAGGTCAGTAATAGGTACAAACAACTGAAGAATCTTTCTAGGTAAAGATAATTATCATCCTTAGACTTAAGAAGGAAGGAAGAGAACTTGAGAAAATGGGAAGAAGTGAGAAGAGAATGGACTTAGAACTGGACACCACTGGGGTTTGTGCATGTCTTGCTGTCTCTATTATCTATTTGAAAGCCCTGGATATATAGGTTAGTGGACCGCAAATTCTAGTCGTGTTTGTCAGAATTATGTGAGGGCATAGGGATACAAAAATGTGATTCCTTTTCTTACCTATCATAAGGGTCACTCCTATAACAAAAGACAAATTAACAAGAGAAAAGTGTAACATATTTATTGAAGCAAAGTTTTACATGACACAGGAGACTTCAGAATGAAGACCCAAAGATACAGGAAAAATGATTCATTTTTATGTTTAGGCTACATGAGGAATGCACAATTGTGATGGACTGTGATTGGACAAAAAGAGTATGACCGAATGGTCACAGTATATTACTCTCAATGTATAGGTATAGTACTCAGGTATAGTACTCTCAATGCAGGTATAGTACTCTCTAATGGGAATAACTGAGTAGGGAAACCCAGCAAAGCCTGTCTGTTCAGATTCTTCTTTGTCTCTCCGCTCAGCACTCCTTCCTCCTGGGTATGGGACAGGATCCTTGCTGGAATGGGGGTCTTATGACCTACTTCCAAAGCGGATCACAGAATTTCTTTATGGTCAGCTCTTACACAGAAAGGCAGGAGGAAGTTAGAATAATATGTTTAGATTTTATGTCTACCTTTAGCGGGGATGGGTTCTGGTTTCTACGACTTTCCTTGGGGAAGAGGCATTCTAGTTTATATGGCTTGCTGTGGGGGAGAATAAGGGGCAGGAGACAGTAGGGCAGGAGAAAGTAAAAGACAAACTTTGCTTCATACAGAGGCCTTCACTTGGGGGCATCGTTTTCTGAGCCCCAACAGGAGTATGTAGATTTGGAACCCCACCTCAAGACCCAATGAAACAGAAGTGACATAGCCCCGAAATCTGAATTTTTAACAGTCAGCCCATTTGATTCTGATGGAAATGTTTCTTAGACCACACTTCAAGAAACGTCGGCATAGGAAGATCCTCCAGACTTTCTAAGAATCACTCTTTAAATGCATCTACTCATTTTAATTAAACTAGGAACACAGAGATAAAAGGCATAGTCTCAGCCTTCGAAGAATTCATGGCCTAGTGGTAAAGGCAGACTTAGAAGCAGATGGTTTCATAGCATGAATGAGTGAGTCCATACAGCAGAAGGAGCTGGGTGCTGAGAACTGAAGAGAGGCACCCAGCTCAGCCTGTGTGGGGACAGGTGCACATCTGGGAGGAAGGCTTAACAGAAGAAGTAACTATGTCTTCAAGGATGAGTGAGTATTCTCCAAGAGGAGGGAAGAGAAGAATTCCAGGTAGAGAGAGCTCAGAGGACCAAAAGCAGAGTGGCCTCTAGGGACATGTTCAAGATGAGGGATGGCATAAGAAGAGAGGCTAATAAGGAAGGTAGGCTGATGACGCTGAAGACTGCACATCTGTCTTTCATAATAAGGTGATGCTTTTTCACAGAAGAAGGTGCATGGCCAATATTTATATCATTGTAATTGCAATAGTGATCAATGTACAATTCCAAATTGTGGTCTCTGTCCTCATAGGTATAGTACTGTCAATGCAGTGGTATTCTGATAAGCTTCCAGTTGAAAAGGAATTCGGAAAAGTCCAAGGCAATCCTATATGGTTTTATCTTCTTGTTTTCCTCATTAATCTTTGTCATCAGACATCTTAGACGAAAGTAAGGCTGAAAAAAATCTAACCAAAGGAAGGAACAAGGTGGCTGTATGCAGAACCACAAAAAAAAATCCTCCCACATTGAATGTTGACATATGTTATTTACAGTATCGTCATGTATAAAATACAGATGAGTACATGAATAAAAATAAAATAGCATTCACCATCCACCTTTCTAAGAGTTAAGATCAAAAAGTGCCTGTAGTTTCCACTCTGTTCTCCAGTTTAAAAGATGAATTTCACTACCAATCTGCATAAACTAGCATTGTAACTCACAGCGTGTGCTTATACAAACAAGAACAGAAACCAGAGTAGAAATCGAAGCATGCTGAAAGAAGAGGGTTTTTTGTTTGTTTGTTCGTTTTTGTTTTGTTTTGTGTTTTTAACCAGAGAGAGTTATTTGAATTCAGAATAGAACTACATATATCCACCCCATTGTCTGTACAGGAGTGTGTGTGTGTGTGTGTGTGTGTGTGTGTGTGTCTCTATATGTGTATCTGTGTGAATCACATTCAGCTGTAATATCATATTATAAATGATAATTAAGTAGATATAGTCAAGTTTTTGTAATATTTATTTTTCCTCACATTTATATAAAGAAAATGAAAACCAGGAAAATAAAAGTATCCTCAAGGCTGTCTACTTGATTCCAGCTGTTAACATTATCTATTGTAATTAGTATTATAAAGTAGTGAAATGCCAATGTCTTTGAACTTCTTGCAGTTGTGTGTAATATTGGAGCCAATGCAGGAACTGATGTCGAGACATAAAACTTACAACCTCAGTCCCCGAGACTGCCTGAAGACCTGCTTGTTTCAGAAGTGGCAGCGGATGGTGGCTCCGCCAGGTACACCCTCATTCTTCGCTCTTTCTCTAAATTCGTTTTCAGAGGTGTCTTCCAGGGATGAAGTGATGTGAAAAGGAGGAAGGTGATCATTAATGTAACAGGACAAGTAGCTTATTAGGGATATTCTGACCATGGTTGTGGGCATAGAGACAATGAATTTGTGACATGCGAACATCCTTAAGAATTATCTACAGTCTCCTTGCTTATCAGATTAGGACCTGCAACTCAGAGAGGTAAAATGACGTGTTCAAGGTGATCAAGAAGGTCATTGGCAAAGTTGAGATCAGAGCCAGGGGTCCCTGTCTCCCAAGCTAGTGGTTCTTCCACTGAGCCAGATTGCTGGCTTTTCACAGCCTAATGTTTTAGGTTTTTTGTTTTTTTAAGAATGGTAGAAATTATGAAAAAGAACAAAGAAAGGGAAGATAAGGAGGAAGGAAAGGAGAAAAAAGGGATAGAAAGAAGGAAGAAAGAAAGAACAAAGGAATGAAGGAAGAAAGGAGGAAAGGAATGAAGGAAAAATGAAGTTTGCTCTATTTTTAAAGATATATTGTATCAAAAGTTCTGATCATGAAGAGAATACATAAGCCATTCCATTTCCCTCACTTCCCTAGAATGCAGTTTAGATACTACAGTCTCCTGCTGGGGTTCTGAAATTACCGCTTCAAGTCATCATTAATTGTCTTCCTATCTAATACACTTTCACTCCCAGGCGTGTGTTGAGCCTCATTGATCATAAAAGCAAAACGTATCCCTTCGCTAAAAATTATTTTTATAAAGAGTAATTATTAACACGAGGCACATAGCTTTCTGAATCACAAAATATAATGGTCACCTTCGGCTGGTAATTGGCCAGGGGTTTTACATAAAATGAATATAGCAAATTTAATCAAGTACATATTTAGAAAGCTGAGAAAATAAGTGTTATTTTATGTAGAATAGTTACATCCCCATCTTATGGGAATTTTAGACTTTTGGAATATTATTTTCCAAATATGTTAAATGTGCTTAAATTGGCTTTATTTTTTCTTTTAATGCTAATAAGGCTTTACAGAAAAAAAGCAATCCACTCAGCAAATGCTTTGAGCACCTATATTTTCTAACATAGGTGTACATAATTAATATATTATTCATTAATTCCTTCATTCATTCAATAATTATTTATTGAATTTTACTAGGGTCCAGACATGGTTCTAGCCACTGGGAGTTACAACACTGAATAAAACATGCAAAAATATTGAATCCTTACCATAACTTTAAATATATTATCTCCATTTTATATAGTGCGCTCTGAGACTTAGGGTAGTAATTTGACACAGCCAGTCTCATGGCTAACAAATGAAGGAGGACTGTGTCACAAAAAGGTTTTCATGTCTCCAAAGTCCATTACTTTACTACCACAGCCACCTACTGTTAATGGGAATAGTCCAGAGTTTGCATTTTAGGTACATTTGCCCCAGTGTCATGTCAAATTACAAATTTAAAAAGTACCAAATTTATACTCTTAAGGTCAAAGAAAGAAGATGCTTATCAGCAGTGGGCCTGAGTATCTGCTGGACTTTAGAATGTCCTCCTCAACCCTTTATTCAACTCCATGACCTGGAACAGTTCTATATCCTGTTCCTCTCATCCTTCAGAACAAGCACCCAGAACTCGATGGAGGAAAATGATAGACCATTTGATGAAAATCTTTAAGCATAAGAGACAAAATATTTACGAATGACAAAAAAAATAGTAGATAAGTAGAAAAGTCAAAAGTCAGAAGTCAGGGATACTCTTTGGACTAAGTGGTCTTTGAAATGAGCCTTAGAGGAAGATCCTTCCCATTGTCCATCAGAAGTGGCATAGGTGGGTTTTTTTGTTTGTGTGTTTTTGTTTTATTTTGTCTTGCTTTGCTTTGTTTTTGAGACACGGTTTTGCTCTGTCACCCAGGCTGGACTGCAGTGGCACAATCATAGCTTATTGCAGCCTCAACTTCCAGGCTCAGGTGATTCTCACACCTCAGCCTCAAGAGTATCTGGGATCCCTGGTGCCTATCATCACACCTGGCTAATTTGTATGTATTTTGTGCAGATGGGGTTTCACCATGTTGCCCAAGTTGGTCTCGAATTCCTGGGCTCAAACAATTCACTAGCCTCGTCCTCCCAAAATGCTAGGATTATAAGTATGAGCCATGGCACCCGGCCAGCATAGGTGTTTTAAGAAAATTTTACAAGGCCCTCTTATTTGGTTCCAGTGTGGCCCTGAGTTGCCTTCTCTCCATCACAGTCAGGTCTAAAATAGAGTTAGCAAAAAGGATGCTCTTACTTGCCATTTCCAACTTATTCAGTAACTGGCAGGAGAAGGCTTCTGAAACTTTCTCATTTATGAAACAAAGATTAAAATAATAGTTCCTAAATAATAGGATTTTTTAAATATAAAATAGTACATTGGAAACATTAAGAATAGTGACAGGCATTGCATAATGTTCTATACCTTATAAGTAACAAACAAATAAATAAAGACTATTTATCTTACCACACTTTACCTTGGGTCTCTATATTTCCATTAAAATGTTGCCCCATCCTTCAAGTCCAAAATATTTTTCTCTATTTTTGAATAGGCCTTTCTTTAAGAGGTCTAGTTTCCCCTCAGTAATATACTGGCTATACCATATACTCAGACATATTTTTTTCTTGCAATTTTGGAATAGCATTCATTAGACAGCAGGGCCCAAACCATGGGTATTCCTTCTGAACTTGGGAATCCCTAAGCTCCACATCCACAGCTGATGGAACTGACTTTACTTGAGAATTCTATAAAGGTATAATAGAGGTGGGCTGCAATATAACATTTTACCAGTAGATGCTGCTGTTGCACACTGGCTCACGAATTTGGCTATCTAAAGTTCCTACTTCACTCGTACCTTGGAGGTACCCTAGGGATCCCAGGAGTCCTCTCTTTGTTTTAAAGAGAAGACACACCAGAGGAAAAAAGTTTCCCAAATTTTCTAACGGCAAAATATTTTAAATCCAATTAAGAAAGTGGTACTTGTAGTTACACCCCTAAAAAATATTTTTACAAAATTAAATATATATAATTAGAACAATTAAATAAAAATTATTTGATCTACATACAAAGAGTGACACATATTTTGTGCTAAAAATACATCTACAGTTCCCTCCTTTTATTCTTTCTAAAGCTATAGGAAATGGAAAATGGTTTAAATATTCTACTCTTAAGTTTACAAAGACAGCTTCCTTAGGGGAACCATACTGATGATTGCCTTGTTGCTTTTGCCCTAGAACTGATCCCTCTTCCCTTTTCCATATTGCAGCAGAACCCACAAGGCAACCAACAACCAAACGGAGAAAAAGGAAAAATTCCACCAGCAGCACTTCCAACAGTAGCGCTGGGAACAATGCAAACAGCACTGGCAGCAAGAAGAAGACCACAGCCGCAAACCTGAGTCTGTCCAGTCAGGTACCTGTAAGTCTCGCTTTCCTCTTAGGCCCAAAATCCTAACCGCCTGCTTTCTACTCAGAGGGCCCAAATTAAAGTTTCTTTTCACTGAAAAAAAAAAAAAAAAAATCCTGGGCAGATTGGAGGTGGGGGAGGGAGTAAAGACAGGGACAGAGGTTGGGATGGGAGGGAGGAACTCTGCCATGGAAACCTTCCCCTGCAAACTGGGAATTAGAAAGGAATATTAAGAGTCGTGCTGCAATGGGACCTGAATTAAAAAGCCATCAGAGTCACAGACAGGAGATATGTCACTTAAGGTTTAATTAAAATATCACTTAGCAGCATGCCTGGTGGCATATTAGGGCCTCTCAGCACCATCATTGGAGACCCTGTGCTCCACTGGAAACTAGCTCCCAGCGGCTCAGTCCCATATTGTAATTCGACTGGGCCTTCCCCAACATGGGCATCCTCTCTTATTTTAAGACTCAGGTAATTAACCGGCAGCCACTAAAAATGCAGCTCAGTGAAGCTCTCTCTTAGCCCTTTTCATTAGTTAAGGGGGAGGATCAGCCTCTGGTTTGGTCTCAACTCTCTCGAACCCTTGGCCCCTTTCTTTCATTTCTTGATCTTGACAAAGGCCATTAGGAAGGGGACTTCTTTGAATTCCAAAGCTGACAGCTGAGGGTAGTCCCATATAGTGAAAACTGCACAGGAACTCTCTTCATCTCTTATTCATTCTTCGTGAATTCTGTCCCTTCTGCCTAAATCCCTCCCATCTCCTAACTCCCCAGCCCCTTATTAGACTATCTCCTTTAAGTCCTTAGCTCCTTTAAACTGCTTCTGTTCCTTCTCTGCTGTCCCTGTCATACCACCCTGTCACCAGGTGTTTGGCCATCATTCAAATCCTGAGATTTTTCAGTGCTTCGTGGATACCTTTTAGATACTCTGTTTTCCAAAGATGCCCTATTTCTTGTTACATCCCTCAACTAGTACAATTTTACCTTTTCTGTCTTTCTCACGTTTTTCCCCCTCACCCTTCTTGCTCTCATCCTTACCCTTATGGTTCTGATCCTGTTCCATCGCTTCCATGTGGGAGTGGACCTTTGCACAGGGATTCCTCACTGACTTCCAAGTGTGTATTTCAAATCTGCCCCCACCCACTTGTACCTACTTTCCATTGGTCAGTTCTCTTTGGCCAAAACGAACCCCATCAGTACCCTGAGGATTCCTTGGGCCATTGTTTCTCTTCTCCTGTCTCCCACAGACAGGGGGTATACTTTTCATTCCCATTGCATTAGAAAGAAGGGGGCATGGGGAGAATGACCAGCCTAAAATGGAAGGTACCATGTTACATTTTACAAAGTTACAAATTGCAGTCTTCAAATAATGAAAACAGTCTCCAGGTGGTCCTCCACTTTGTGAGCTAGGCTTTACACCTATTGCCGCTGAAGCTCAGGGGGAAAAGCTAAAAGAGGAAAACCCGAGTCTCTTTATTAAAAAAGTATCAAGTTATACCCACTCCTGGTGAAATTTTGAATAGAGAAAATGGCCTGATTTAGATAAATCAGCTGAAAAAGTGTACACAGGAGCCCATTTATTTATCCAATCCTGGAGTTAAAGGCAGTAACATTCGTTAGTTTCCTCTAGCAAATAGGAAAAAAGTGCATCTCAGAGGATTCTGGAATGGTGACATAGCTACTTAAAGGCACTGTAGCTGCAAGAATCCCAATCAGTTTAACAGATGTTTTCTGAGCTCCTACTATGTGCCCACACTGTGCCAGGTAGCAGCAATACCAAGGTGAAAAACAACAACAACAAAGCCCTGTCATGAAGAGCTCACCGTCTCATCTAGGGATGGCAAGGACATTTTCTCTCTCCTGCCAGCCCTCAGAGTATGGTATTGAGGAGGATTCTAAGGTCTAGTCTGGGTTTGGTGGGCCATCCATTAGTGATATCTGACATGGTTGTAGAAGTTGAGAGTAGCAGCTTACGTGTCATATATTTTGACACATATGGACTAGTCAGAATCATTTCAATTTCATTTGAAAAAGGATATAGCTTCTGTACTCTGTTATGCTCCTGTCTTCCAAATCAACAACTGTATTTTACTGGAGGTTGCCTGTATCCAGAGGGTTTTTAATATGTTGAGACCCTTTGGATTTTGTGTGATTAAAAGCAAGGCACCGTTAGGAAGTGAGAGTTGAATTTCAACACTATCTCCACACCATGCAGTTAAAGATGTTTTAATAAAGTAAAATTGTCAGATGTCACAGAGAGACAGAAAGGACAACCAGATTAGGAAAATGTACAAATTCATATGTGTCCTGGAGTTGAATAGACATTAAATGATAAGCGTTGGATGACTTGTGGTGACCACATCTTTTAACCCTGTCTACTGAGTTATCAACACTATTCTACTGGTTAACTAGAGATGCTACCTGCAGGCATCCACTGTCTGGTCCAAAGGCATGTGCCACTATGACCACAGCTGTGGTCTGTGTAGCTGCTGCGGCAGCGATGTGTGTGTCTGGCGAGGGCTAGGGTTTAATCCTTGGATTCTGCTTCTCACTCCATGAGCAGGGGCTAGGAGCGATCCCGAACTGCAGCCTCAACCCTGGGAGGGATGGAGACCTGTGTCATTCAACAGCAGTGACCCCTTCTGGCCAATTTAAGGAGAAGCATTGAGGGGCCCTGAAAGGAGTCACTTCCAGTCCTCCTCAGAGGTTGGTGGTCTTTGCACGGGGGATTAGTGAGAAGATGTGAAGTGGGTGAGAGCTGGTGGCGCCTCTGGGCTTCCAGCGAGGAGCAGAAGTTGGCCTTGTGGGGAGCTGAGGGCATATGGACCTCTCTCAGATGGCTTGCTGTTGCCTCTCGTGGACACACAGGATAGAGATGGGAAGGAAATGTACTCTCACTGCCAATGTTGGGGGGATTTTTAACAAAATGGGGGGAAATGTTGCTAACAACCCCTAAGTAGAGGCAGCCTAGAATGTACATCATGCTTTATTTATTTTGTGTGAGAATGACAAATCCAGACTACCAGAGCAGATAATCACTATCCTAGTCTAGAGGCTTAGAAGAACCAATAGAAAAAATGTGCACATAAATTTATAAGTGGCCTTAACTGTCTATGTGCATATGAAGCCCTTAACTTGCCATTTGTCAATTATGTACACACACACACATACACACACATACACACACACACGCTCTCTCACACACACACACACACACACAACTACATATCTAGCTAGGGATTTTTTATATAATTAGAAAACCATGTGTGACATCCCTTTGAAATTTAGTACATTTAAAAACACCTATGCCTAGACGTCTTTTCCAGTTGCTCCTAGAACAAAGATTCAACAAACAGATTACAAGCCTGTCGGCTCCATTGGAAATGATTCAAACTATTATGTTCATAGTACTTTCCTTGAATGACTGTTGTTTTCTAATTCAATGAATGCATCTGGAGTGTTGGGAGCTTTTCTTTTAATATCATGCTTAAGTTGGCTGCTTTTTATTTTCCTCCTCCTCTTTCAAATTATGCTTCCTCATACTCTCCCATCCTCTCTCGATGACTTTGGAGTCACAATACTAATGCAGACCCATGTGGTTGGTTCTAACATCCTTCTCCTGCCCTGCAATGCCTTATGCATGTGTTTTCCAAGCCCTTCAAGTGTGCTGGACACAAGTCATGAAATGAGATTAACCCTCATGTCACATGCTCTGTACAACCTAGCCCTATTTTTCCATCTCCCTTTGTTCTTGATCGTAAGTGTCATCTCCTAATTGCCTATAACTCAGTGGCACTCTTTTATCCTGAACACCCCCCAGCAGGTAACATTGCAGCTGCCCAGCTAACCAAATACCATTCACGTCTCTGCGGTGGCCATATTCCATCTAAAATCCTGTCATCCTTTCTGCCAGTCAGGACAGTATCTACTTTGTATCTCACCTTAACAGTCTTCATGAGTCTCCTTCCATGTCACTGTCATTTCTGGTTCTTCATTGCGTAATAAATAAATAAATCTTGGAAGCACAGAGCTGAATATCCCCTGGCATTTTTATTGCTGGGTTTACCAAGCTCACATTTTAGTCACTTACTCTATTTGGGACATTTCTTTTTAAAATCATTTTTATCTATTCACAAGAATGATTAGTCAGAAAACATAGTTTGGAAACCTATTAATTATCTCCTCTAACTCAAGAATGGTGGGGAGCAGAAATAGATAAAACAAGGTTTTCCATTGTAAAAGACTAGGGGATAAGTAAGGGATTTGTTCAATGGGCACTTTGAAAATTCTAGAAGGGATTTAGAGATCCCACTGGCCCTTCTCCCGACGGTAGGCAGTGTTCCATTCTACTGCCCCAGGAAAACCTTCTCTGGGCAAAGCTCTAGTAAAAAGAATTTTTGCACAGTTGTCGAAACATTTTATTGAATTAGCCTTTCTACTGGAAACCCCACCCTCTCATCTCCGAAAGCATCTGGCTAGCCCTACTTTCTCTGGCCTCAGTGGAGGCTGATCACAGTTGGTCACTTTCCTGAAGTTACTGCACTTTTAAGTGGAGTATTGCTCAGAGCCTGCCCAGAAGAATCCACCTGACAGATGTCCTGTCCCATACCAAGGTCATTCATCAACCCCATATGGTCCCCTTTGAGCAAAGAAGCTGGAGCTCTGCCCCATGTGTGCATTCTTCTTCCCCATCCCTGGGCCTCTCCAGCTGTGGCCTCCCCATGCTCCCAGCTACAGTAGGTGGCTTACTTATTTGCATGGAAGGACAATTTGTACTTAAAAGAGTGATTAGATGGATTCTTCTTACACGCTTCCATCTCTGATGACTACCAGCTTCATCAATGTAATTATAATTAGCGTTCTTCATCTTCCTTTTATGGCACCAGCTGGACAGACTGGTTCTCTTTACTGCCCAGATGGGTGGCAGGGTTGCCTGTGTGGTGATAGGTGACAGGCACCATGAAATAACAGATGGTAAATTCAGGGCTTGTTGGCAATCAGCAGGTTTTTGCTAATGACTTAATTAGCTATGCAAATTGTCAAATCAGTGTGAACATTGTTTTTATCGAAAACTTTACCTAAATTAATTACCATAATTAAGTAGCAGAATGTCAAGGATATTGGCTGCATAAAAGGGCCTGGCTGAGTAGAGAAAAGAGAGATTCTGTCTTCAATTAAAATGTATATCATCCCTGGGACAGAGAAAATACCGTTTGGAATGAGTTATGTGAATATTGCAGAATTGCACCTTATGTGTGTCTCTGGTCACTGCTAGTTTCCAAAGCCACTCACAGGCCCTAAATAAAAGTGGAAGATTTTTTGAGGTATTGAGAAGCACCCAGCAGAAGGTTCCACAGTCCTCTCAAAAGTCCCCAATGTCGGCAAGTTGAAAGCATGGATTTTTTTAATTTTGAAAAATACATTTTTTTATTTCTGCAGATTGCTAGCATTGCTCGTTCTCCAGTGTCAGGCTGCGCACTAAGGACATAAACTCGCGTGGTTGTTACACATCAGGAGGCGATGTTTATTTCCTGTAGAAATCAAATATGCGTCTCGGCCCCCGACATTGAGACTTGACCCCGTTGTACAGTACACGAGTGTGTCTGTCCTAGATTCCCCGACTCCTCCCACTGTTATTTTAAGCTGAGCTTCTCTCTCCCAAGGTTTCCCTGTAATAATGTCAGCTGCTGTTCACAGGATGTGATGGTGGTAGGAGAGCCAACTCTGATGGGAGGTGAGTTTGGGGACGAGGACGAAAGGCTAATCACTAGATTAGAAAACACGCAATATGATGCGGCCAACGGCATGGACGACGAGGAGGACTTCAACAATTCACCCGCGCTGGGGAACAACAGCCCGTGGAACAGTAAACCTCCCGCCACTCAAGAGACCAAATCAGAAAACCCCCCACCCCAGGCTTCCCAATAAGATTATCCGCACCAGAATCCACTGTCAATAGGCCCGTGGGTGATCATTACGATTGCAGATCTTTACTTACAGGAGAGGAAACAGAAGAGATAAAAACTTTTCCATGCAAATATCTATTTCTAAACCACAATGATCTGATTTTCTTTCTTCTTTCTTTTTTTCTAATTGAGAGGATTATTCCAAATAAGCTTCCATGACCCTTCCTTGGAGGCCTTCACAGGTAATACAGATACTGGCACTGATTGTAATTAAAACGAGAGAAAACTCTAGCGCATCTTCTGGCACGGTTTTAACAACGTGTTTGTGTTGAATTTCCTTTTTATGCATCAAACGAAGGCCATATTGTCCATAAATGCTCAGTGCTCAGGATCTCATTAATATGCCGAACCTAACTACAGATGACTTTTTAATATTGTAAAATATTTTCTGCTTTTTGACTTGCATCTGAGAGTTTCTTGTTTCAGTAAAAAAAGAAAAGACAAAAAAATCAGCTTTGGAAAGTAATTTAAACGTACCTTTATTTTTTTTTTCTTTATGTTTTCTTTCATTGGGCAACAGCTAAGAGGGCCCAGCAAGGTAATTTATGGTCGAGCTGATGTCAATTGGTTCTTAAGTCTTGAGTCGACTCAATTTAGCCCAAGTGCTGAAACAAGAAATGTCATTTTTTTCATCGAAGACACCAGGGCAGATTTTTAAGTAAAGAAAGACAATTGGACCCTTAAGAATTTATGCATTTGTAAAGTTGCTGTTGATCCAAATATTTTCAAGCCATGTAATCCATTGGTTTTGTGGGAAGTTTAATAAACCTGAAACTTTTGTGTGTTTTTAAATTGTACCTGAGTTGACCATCCTTTCTTTTTATAGTATATTTCTTGTATGATATTTTGTAAAGCTCTCACCTGGTTCTTTTATGGGGACTTTTCGTTTTTGGGCAACTCCAGTGTATTTATGTGAAACTTTATAAGAGAACTAATTTTTCCATTTGCATATTAATATGTTCCCCCACACATGTAAAGACACAGTGGCTCCGTGTGTTAAAAACAGCTGTATTTTATGTATGCTTTACTGATAAGTGTGCCAATAATAAACTGTGTTAATGACCAAAGCAAGTGAATCTGGCTATTTGTGTGAGTACGTGTGTAGCAATCTGCTCACAATTATGAGAAGTATTGAGCTTAGATTCATGGTCCAGACTCCAAATGAAGTGGAACCGTAAAACCTGTGTGAAGTAAGTTCACTGTGCGCTGGCTACCAATTCGTCTGAGTCCAGTGAGCCAGAAGACACTCATGTGCAACAAATTACACGGAGTAGGTTTATTACTTACAGACAGGCAGCAAGAAACAACAGAAGCCTAGGAACCATGGGACATAGTCCCCAAGGCTCAGAAAAGCTGCCCAGGGCAGACGGAGTCTCAGCTGTGGTGCAAGGCCCCATTTGCACCACAGCTGAGGGACCCTGGAAAGCAGCCGGACCTGGGTTTTATACCCTGAGGTCATGTGACACGCTGGACTAAAGCACTGAAGGGCATCCTGTTTCTATGAGGGGATGGGTTGGGACCAGAGCTCAGGCTATTTCACCCAGTCACCCCTTATCTCAGGATGTTTCATTCCCAGCTCATGCTACAGTTATTCTTGAGAACAAAGAGCAAGAAAAAGGAGAGAATTGGGTCAGTTTGAGGCCACGGAAGAACTGTCCTACAACCTGTGCCATCTTTTATAAAGCATTGTTTCTTTCCTTGCTTACTGCAGCTACTTGAGCAAACACAGAAATGCCTTCTCTATGCTGAGCCCTGTGCTAGCCAAGGATACAACATGAAAAGATAGACTGAATGGTGTTCTTGGAGGTTGTAGTCAAGTAGAAAGGCAGTAGCTTCCAGTCACTGAGTGCTTGCTCTGCACAAAAGAACTCTACTTAAGGCTCATTATTTCAATTAATCCTCGTGATAACTCCATAGCATAAGCATGATTATTACCATTTTGAAAATCAATGTCTCACGTGCCTATTTTTCTATACAGAGTAAGGAAAATTCACTGGAGTATCTTTTATGTTTAAAGAACATTATTCATAATTTTCACTTTGTGCTAATGATAAAGATGAGAGAGGAAATCTGGTATTATTTATTGAGTGTTTATTAAGTGCCAGGCAATTTCAATTTATCATCTCCGTGAATTCTGGGAAGGGGATTTGAAAGGGGGAAGCTAAAGAAAGGTTAAGCGTCTTAGGTTGAGATCTCTAGAAGCAGAGCCTAAAGCTGGGATTCAGGGACACGAGGTTTATTAAGGGAATGCTCTACAGGAAAAAATATATATATGAGAGTGGGAGAAGCAGGATAGGGACGGAGAAAGAACTAAGGAAAGCTATGGGCCTCCACAGTCAGCTTCCTGGGCCTGCTCCACAAGGTGAGGGCTTTGTAGACCTCACTGAAGAGTTATCCCTGCTTGTGCTACAGTCCAGCCTTTCCGCACCTGTATCAATATCAACACTTCATTGATTGGGAACCATCCCCAGGTGTATGAGGGATTTGTGACCTTCAGAGCAAGATGGCTTCATTAACCAAGGGGCATTCTACAGAGAAGAAACCAACTAGATGCAACAGTGACAGTATCTTGGGACGGGTGTTCTGGCTTCATAAAGGACATCTATGTAGGCACAAATTTGCTTACTCCATTAAGTAAGTTGTCCCTGGTCTCCTATATCAGGAATGTCACAGTTGGGATTTTAATCTGGATCTTTCTTGACTACAAAGCCTGGTTTGGTTTTGTTTTTTTCCTAGAATATTACATTGCCTTCCTAGAATATTCTCACTTTTTTGAAAATATGTGCTGTAATAGCAACAGAACTAATGAAAACATAGGGAAACAGATACTTTATTGCTTTCCCACTTGTGTGCTTTTAAGATAACTTTCAGTGCATCCCTCACCCTCACCTCACCATTTTAGGTTTTCTTTTATTAATTCATTAAAGTCATTTACATATACAATCTTAGTCCGTTTTCTGTTATATCAGAATACCACAGAATGAGTTATTTGTCAATAAAATAAGTTTATTTAGCTAACAGTTCTGGAAGCTGGGAAGTCCAATTGCATGGTACCAGCATTTGGTGAGGGGCTTCTTGCTGCATTGTGACATGGTGGAGGGCATCACATGGCAAGAGGGCAAAAGCTTGCCAGCTCAGATCACTTTTTCTCTTCTTATAAAGCCACCAGTTTCAACATAGGGACTCCACCCTGATGACCTTATTTAACACTAATTACCTCCCAATGTCCCCACCTCAAGATACCATCAACACATAAACTTGGGAGTTCAGTTTTCAATACATGAAATTTGGGGGACACATTCAAACTGTTGCACAATCATTACAGATGATGCATAGAACAATTTATCTAACACCTATTCCAGTTATTTGTTGTTGCATAGTATAACAATCCAAAACTTACTAACTCAAGAGAACACTTGATTATTATCAGTTACCCTTCTGAGAGTTCACTGCTCTTTGCCAGGTGATTTACACCTTACAGTGTCAGATGCCAGCTGGGGGAGAGGTCATCAGAGCCTTGACTAGGCTGGACATTGTAGATGATGCCCTCACTATGCTAGCTATTGGGTAGGAGCTTAACCAGTGCTGTTGACTGTTGAAGTGCATTTTGATAGCCTCTCTATAAGGTTATCATAGTATAATGTTTGAGTTCTAAGAAGGGGTGTTGCAAGAGACAGCATCCCAAAACATAGGGAAAAGAAATTGCCAGCACCTAGAACTGGCACTAAAGCACCTCTTCTGCATGCTATCCACCAAAGCAGCCACAAGTCAGCCCAGATTCAAGGCACTGATGGACAGACTACATTTGTGATGGGTAAATGGCATGTGCATACCAGGAAGGAAGAAACTGATAGCCATCACTTTTGGGAAAAAACCATCTACAACAGCCAAGGCAATTTACAACCTGGCCTCAGCTTAACTTACAGTTTTATTTTTACTCCTTTCCCACTTAGACCTGATTAACTCTCTACCCTAGATTCCTATTTTCTGAATACACCAAATGTTTATGCCTCATGTGCATTTAAATATTTATCCTCTTAGAATGCCATTCTCCACCTTCTTATGTAACCAAAGCTACTCATCTTTAAAAACTCTGCTTGATTCTCATGTCCTCTGAGACATTTTTCCCACCTCTGGTTAGGCTTGATTGCCCCCTCTGGGTTCCAAAAACACCTGATTCTTGCTTCATTCCAGCATTTCCTTTCAAATTTCTGTTGTTGTCAAATACCCCTCACTGTCCCATTAGACTTCTTTGACTCTGAGAGGTTTAATCATTGTAATCTGTATTCTTAATATCTAATCTCTATCATACATGCCGGTGGAATAGAATTAATGAAAAAATCTCAAGCAAGAAATCATGAAACCACTTTTTACCATTGTATTAGTCCATTCTCAGACTGCTACAAAGACATACTTGAGACTGGGGAATTTATGAAGGACATAGGTCTAATTGATTCACAGTTCCTCATGGCTGTGGAGGTCTCAGGAAATTTACAATCATGGCGGAAGGTGAGAGAGAAACAAAGGCATGTCTTATATGGTGGCAGACAAGAGTGAGTGAGTGAGCAAAGGGGGAAGAGCTCCTTATAAAACCATCATATCTTGTGAGAGCTCACTCACTATCACAAGAACAGCATGGAGGAAGCCACTGCCATAATCCAATCACTTCCCACCAGGTCCTGCCATCAACACGTGGGAATTACGGGAGCTACAATTCGAGATGAGATTTGAGTGGGGACTCACAGCCAAAACATATCACTCTGCCCCTCCCAGCCCCACACAAATTGCATGTCTTTTCACAGTTGAAAACCAATCATGCCTTCTCAACACTTCCCAAAGTGTTAACTCATTTCATCATTAACTCAAAAGTTTCTTATTATTTGCCAGCACTTGAAAACTGATGAATTTCCTATAAAAATTGAAGTATCTTATTTTTCTTAAAAAATCAGATCACACAAGAGCCTCACACTTCTGAATTGCTGGATGGTAACAGTTGCCTGGTGTTGAATCACAGTTGCCCTGCTTGTCTTCTCTCCAGCTGGTAACATTCAGCCTGTTTCACTCACTCTTGCTACCTGCCTGACTGCTGTTGGCTACTGCATTCACTCTATACATGGTCATTACTCCTTATAGAGCCACATTTGGAAGTAGGTATCAGAAGCCCCATTTGCAGATATGAAGACTGATGCTTAGGCAGGTTAAGTGACACCCTTTGTCACACAGCTAAGTGGTGAAGTGAGCTTTGAACATGGGCCCTCAAGGTCAAAGCCTGTGCTCCTTTCATGAAACCATGCTGGTCTAATAGGAGTCACAGTAATGGTTATCCTCCATGGGTTAAGTTAGGAGCTTGACAAGCATGACCACACAATCTGCAACGTCCTGGTGGGTATCTTGGTCAGTTTGGGTTACTACAACAAAGCACCATAGACTGGATGGCTTATAAACAACATAAATCTATTCTCACAGTTCTGGAGGTTGAGGTCTGAGATCAGGGTACCAATATAGTCGTGTTCTGGTGAGGGTCTTTTCCATGCAAACTGTCAACTTCTCAGTGTATCTTCACACGGTCAAAAGGAGAGAGCAGCAGGGGTCCCTTTTATAAGGGTAGTAATCCCACAAGGGCTCCACCCTCATGACCTAGTCAGACCCCACTTTTTAATATCATCACTTGGGGGATCAGGATTTTACCATATGAATTTGGGGAGGCCATAAACATTCCGCCTTTAACAGTGAGGTGAAGTTGTTATCCCCCATTTTGCAAATAAGACAGAACAATTAAACAGTTTTCTCAAAGTTGGAGAACTCACAAATGACAACATGCCATCTTGACTCTGAGCCACTTTATTAGACTTGCTGTCTTGTCAGGTACACAGTCTGCAGGTCAGCATCCTCTGGCCTGGGAGAGGGGTCCTGACATCCACCTTGCTGCCATTCACTATGTATTTTGAGGGATTGTCAAAGAGTACACAAGAGGTCAAGACTCTCTGCTTACCTGGTAATGGCACAAGCAGGGAGGCCCCTTTTTAGGACCTTGAAATCTCAAGGGCATCTGACAAGGGACTTATAA